CCACACTTCCTGATCAAGACCTGCCTTAACCGAATCTGCTACTTTGGACTGATTGGAAAAGGTGGCCTGCCCTTGACTCTTTTGACGGCCACCTTTTCCGCGGCCACCTGCCTTTACCTTGGCTACTGCAGCGAGGGTGCTACCCTCAGCGATCTCCTCGCTGTCGTACTCTGTGCCGTCCATCAGGTCGGTGAGTTCCTCGATTTCAGTTGAGTCCCATCGGACTCAACCATCATCAATCTACTACCCTTCTTTTTCCATTCATGTGGACTCTTCTTCTTCCTCCCGTCTACTGGAGTAGGTTGAGCACCTCCTAGGGTAGCTTCCAAGTCTAAGGCCTCTCTAGAGGTCTCAAAAGAATGATACTCGAGGCGAGCCTCGCTAGCCAGTAAGGTTTTGAGATTCTCGGCCAGACATCTCAAAAACATGGTCAATAAGACCTGGTCATCGTAGCGTATGCCGGGAACGACGATGAGGTTCTCTGTGGTACGACGATGAGGTTCTCTGTGGCAGACGTCAGCTCTCTGCCAGACTTGTACCTTCGTTGGTCCAGTCTGAGCATCGCATCATTGGCAATTTGTGCCTGCTGCGGATATGCCAGCGAGTTTCTACCATATCAAAGAACTCTTCTAAAGTGAGGTTTTTACCCCAGTCTGCCATGCGTCGTTCGAACCCGGCCTTAGCTACTATCCCATCCAACCATTTGACTGCCTTACCCTCAAGGTAAGATGCAGCAGTAATCACCTCCTCCTCCTGCAACGTCCTCTTTGCCCATACCCACATCGGAACCGTCCTCAACCAACTGCTGAGTTCCTCGTCCTTCTTCTCACCGGAGAAAGCAAGGGGTGGCTTCATCGGGGTCTTTGGGTACCATGGACTTTGCTGTTGTCCCTGTGGTGCAACAGATTGTTGCGGCTGTGGTGTAGCTCCACCCGCTGGACTAGAAGAAGTAGAAGCAACACTCTGTGCGGCTGCTGCAGACATACCACTTGGTTGTGTGCCAGCTTGCACCGGAAAGGGGCCTGACATCGCCGTCAACGGCAACAACGACTGTGCTGCTGACCGCAATCCTGGCCTTTGCAAGAGGTCCAAGGAGTTCTTCATGAAGTCCAGCCTGCTGTCTACATGCACATGCACTGACAGTATGTTGGACCTTAACACTTTCATTGCGTCAGACATTATTAACTCATCTAACTCCTCTAATGCAGCTTTGTCTGCCTCCAACGTATCTAGCCTGGCTGTCCTATTTCTAATCTCATTTTCTCTATCGGTAGCTTGCTTCAGTTCCCTCTCTAACCGTGTGCGGATCCTCTCAACTTGTTGGAGCTCTTGTAGCTCCCTCCCGCGTCAACGGACTGAACTGCGAGTCCGCCATTTGACTACTGGGAGTCCACCATTTGACTACTGGAGTGAGTGGAACCTACTGATCCGGAAGTACCCGTGGGCCCATGGGGCATCCCCAACTGGATCCCAGACGAGGATGCAGCTGAGGATGCTGCGGTGGTAGCCATTGCTGCTGCGGTGGCTGCTGCTGCTGCCTGTTCCCTAGCTGCGGCGTTTGCTGCTGCTAACGCCTGACTTGCAGCTAGTGTTGCTTCTCCCCGGCTGCTGCGTAAGCATGAGCTCTAACTTCGGCACGAAACCGTCTTTCGTCTCCCGACTGTAGGAACTGAAACACGTACGGGACCCTACGTGATCTTGAACGTGTCAGCCTTGCATCGACAACTCTACCCTCATCGGAGTCTGACCCACTCATCAGCTAGGCAAACACTATCTGCACTACAACTCCCTGCTGGAGTCCTACCACAGCATGTGTTTGACCGACACCTAATTTTCTAAAAATAAATGTGTCCGGCAGGTCCCCTACTTAAAAGATCAAGTGGCAGCCTGAAACATTCACAAAGACTATTCACATAATCTAATTTTATCCAGATTAGTTCACTTACAGAAGCTTTGCATAGAACTGTAGTATACTACAGTCCTAAACTAAGCTGTCTGTGAGGTAGTAGCAGTCTGTCAACCAACTAATCAAAAATAAAACTAAATTATGTTGCAGATGTATGAACAATGGAAATGGTTGTGTTTACAGTTGAGCACCAATTGGAACCTACCCTCCCCTCAATCCAACATACCGATGAGCATCAATGAGCAGCAGTGTCTTAGGTGTGCAATGTCGGCCCACCCCTGTGCCCCAGGTGTATGCTTATGACCAGGCTTGCCCGTTATTTATCCTCGCGTGCAACGAGCCGTACGTCCGACTGATCTGGCTGATCAAGAGGCAATTTAAGGACAGCCCCCAAGGTCGCTCAAGAATTATTTAACGTCGCAAACAGGACGACGATCACAGCCAGTGAACAATTCGGAACCCCAACCAGAAATGTTTATAGACGGTCTGGGAGCGTCTGCATAAGCCTGTTCAGTCCGCACACCCCTCTATCAGCGCAGCAAAGAGCCTCAATGGACAAAGCAGCCATCCCATGCGTGCACTAATCCCATCGGTTGGCATGATGACCGTGACCCACGTGCTTCGACCAGGGCCCTTCAAAGGCACCGCCCTTTCTCCTTCGAGATGCACCACCGGGAAGATTGTCGTCACGACACCTCACCAAAAAGAGAGGACTCTCAAGTTGGACTCACTTCCTCGTGGTAAGAAGAGATTGAGAGGGTAGATAAGGTAAGGAAACAACGTACCTGAAGATAGCTGCCCCCAACCACAGATTTCTCACCAATTGAGCTGAATGTGCATTTGATGACCGGTCGTAGCCTCGGTAMCACCCACAACGCAATGCAGTGCCACCTCAGSCAAATGYCACATCASCATGCTCTCATCACCATACATACATTCCGYTGTCKSCACAACGTCCCAAGCTGTATAGCCATCCAGCGCGCACCCCTCTACCCTGGTCGCGCGCTATTTCGCCTGACGTCACAAGCACCAACTGCGAAGAAGCATCGTCAACGCACCAAGTCTGTATGTCGCCAGCGCACAAGGTAAGCGGCGAATCAAACCAGCTCCGATACCAAATTGCAAGGAACATGAATGTGAGCGAAGTACAGAAATCCAAATTGCAAATCACGCTGAAGTCCAAGTAGTCAAACAAAGAGCATATGGCACATTGGAACCAAGAAACCATTCATATGAGAACAATACAGCAGAATCGTGAGGTCAATGTCCCAGCCCGTAGGGCCACACCAACAACAGAACCCAATGTAGCTCTCTCTCTGAACGGCACTGGCGCCCTACCTACACTACTCCCTACAGCTACAACTACAGCATGATCACGACCAGACGACTTGAAGACCAGCGTGCTTGACGTCAGCACCAATGCCGACCTCCTCTCTCCACGCCAGGTAAGTACCTCCGTTGCTCCCCACTCTTATCCTGTCTCCCCACTCTCGTGCCTCCTTCCCGAAGACCACCTTCGCCTCCCTACCTCTCACTGCGCCCTGCAGCCCGGCTATGGCTGCCGGCGCTCGCTGCCCTGCAGCGCCCCACACCTCTGCGCCCGCTAGCGCGCTTCACCACCTAGCGCAGCATGCACGCACTCGCTACACAATGCAGCAGCGTGCCGACAATGCCGCACCGGCCAAGCCCCTTCCCCTGCGCCCAGACTGCCTACATGTCGTGGTAGGCGCGTGTGCAGCTCCTCTAGCCTGCGACTGGGCCCCGGCATCTGTGTCCAGGCCCAATGCAGATGGGGCCCAGACTTTTACAGTTGCGCCCATCAGCCCAGGGCCGATGTCCAGATTCAGATAGCGGGCCGGTTTCCCATTGGTACGCTCGGCCTCGACGACGACAACGCTGCTTTTCGATTGGCCCACGTCCAATGTGTGATGTGTCGGCCTCCCCTGACTTGTGCCCAGGGCTCTGAGGCCCTGGGCTCAACTGCTTCTGCAGGAGTCTGGGCTTCACGATGCACTCCAACCAACTGGCGTGCTGCAACTGTCTGATACCCATTTCACCAAATGCTGAAAGAAAGGCCTCTCGTGGATATTCTGGCCCGCCTTCACTTAGGGCGGGCATGAGGCTTGCCGGGGACCTTAGCCCAGAACATATGCATGTTGGCGAGGCCCCAACGAGGGCTCAATCCTCACACTTCCCTTGACGAGCTTGGAAACACCCTGCACGCCAAAAAAAAAGTGAAACGGCATGTCCCTTCTTTCAGCTGGCGCCGCCTCCCAGTCGGACAAAAATGGTAGGGAAACGTACTGGTGGCTTAACTCAATTCGCCGAACACCACAGCGCAACAGAAAGCAAAATCCCCCGTGCTGCAACCCACCCCCCACCGCTTGTTTTGAGAAGGCCCATGGCCTCAATGTTTTCCATCTGGACCTTCTCAATGTGTTTTGTTGTTGGCCCCCGTTATTTCTCAATCCGCTCCTCGGTCCAAGAGAGAAAGCGGAACACATGTTACAGCGGGTGAGCAAAGGTTCCTTCGCCTTCTGCAGAACGATGGTTCACTCAACTGACCATCTTTTTAGTTCTTCCACTAATGTGCTCCACATTCTTTACTTTTTTTCCCTTCTGATGATACGCTCCCATTCAAAAGTTACAGAAAAGGCCGTCCTGTCTAGATTTGACAGGTAATTGAATTGGTTGGGCTTAAAGAATTAGCCTTTTAAAAAAAAGAGAGAAAAGTTACAGAAAACCACAGGCAGAAAACCTCGTAAGGTTCGTAACCATATGTGATTGCTGGTGGAGCAATGGGTTGGGGAGAACCATTGGCGTAACACTGACATGTTGATACCTACTACTCCCCTGCGCTTCCTGCAACAGCCCCAAGTCTTGCAGCTTGCATGTATCAGTGTCTACCGTTCAGGGCCTGCTGTTTCTGGAAAACATACTTGGGAAGGAGTTTCTTGCTACAATCCAACAACCATGAGGAATGAAAGATAACCAAGGAGGAGAATGAAAACAAATCTCGAAGAGGCCAAAGGAAGCACATTCAAATGAAAGAAGAAAATGGAGGAGAAGGATGAGGAGGAGGAGGAAGAGGAACCTTGAAAGAGCCTGTGTGACTGTTCCCACACTGCTTCACCCACAAGTCGTTCATTCCTAAGACCTCCTTCCCAAAACGCTCTGCCCAGAACAGATTGGAATTTCCTTCAAACATGCTGACAATGTCATCATTGTCGATCTCCTGCACGCAATCACATACACAATGTACACCACAAACAGATGAATACGTGTAAGAGTCCCATCCAAATTCAATAGAAACAAGTGAACCTGCCGCGGCGAAGCCGCGGCCCAGCGCCAGCCCCACCCCAGGCACGACCATTATCTGTCCCGGGCGACAGTGAGGGTGTTTGTTTTAGAACATGACGGACGCCCAACATTGCGGGGGGCATCGGCCAAGGCATCAGCATGCCGTCGGATCCTTGTAAATCCGCACTATTTTATTGTGGTCGCCGGTGGATTCGAACTCACATCTGCAATTCAACAGTTTCATGCGTGCATCAACTGAGCAGCCTGCCAATGTGCAAAATCAGAAGTAATTTTCTGCAAGAACATTGGAAGATACACCGCGGCGGACAGATATACTGAACAGAAATCCCGGTGTGAGTATGGACTAAGGAGCTGTCAGATGCAAATGTCGCAGTGCACGCGCGCGGGGGAGAGAGAGATTTCCATCCATAGGATGGGCAAAATGGGAATGCATCTGTCGCGAGAACATGGATTTGCACAGCCACATTTTTAGTCCTTGGCAGTGTAGATTTCCATGTAGTGGCAGTGGATACTTCCACGTTCTAGGGGAAGACTCAATCCCATTTTGCTCATTTCGGTGTGTGTGTGTGTGTGTAGGATGAGCAAAATCGGAATGAACCTTCAACCAGAACATGGAAATATACACTGAGAACAGGCAAGTCCCCAACCTCGCGGCTGGTCTCATGGTACTTCCATCGATAGGATGAGCAAAATCGAACGAGTCTACCTCTAGAACATGGTTGAATGATTGATTGATTGAAAAACAAAACAAAAAAGGAGAA